TGGCTGGGGGCTGCATGGGGCAGGGAGCTGGGCTGAGGGAGGTGCTGTTGGGGGCAGCACTGGTTGAACTGAGGCAGAGCAGGGCGGGGAGGTCTAGGGATGCAGTATGTGCTGCAGGAAGGAGTGAGTGGGGAAAACCAGCAAGGAAGAGGGAGGAGAAGTGGAAGGCAGCGCTGAAGGGAGTGGGTAGTGGCAGTGAAGAGGGCTGACTGCTGGAGTTTGGCCTTTCCTGAGAGATGAGATGCTAATCCTTTATCCTCTTCCAAATTTTGCTCTCGTCTCTTTCCCCTTCTCCTTACTGCTTAATGTGCCCTTCACTGCCACCTTCTGCTTTGCAAGCAATTTGATGCTAAAAGGTGGAAGCACTGGCTGGCTCTGAAAGCATCCAAGAGGAGAGCTGCCTGCCCTTGAATAATATTACCTAGACCCTTAATGAAGCACGCAGGGTGATAAGAGGTTGTGGGGATTGGTGAGGAGTAGGGGTGCTTCTAGAAGGGCCAGTGGGGAAGCTGCTTCTTGAACTTTGATTTGAACATCTACCTACGTGTGTCATGAAAACCAGCTCTAGAAAGAGGTGATGGTATTATTCTTTTTGGTGCCTTTTTTTCCCCTCTGTTTTTTTTTCTCCCTGTTTCTCTTTAGCTATTTCTACTTTATTTCTACCATGATTCTCAGTGTTGTTGCTTCTTTATACTTCTATCTACTTCTTATTCCCCTTCCTAAAATTCCTCTGAAATGAGTTTGCAGAGTGAGTTTTGCTGTGGTTACTTATTTTTCCCCCACAATCAATCCCTTGACAGACGTTAACTAGAATTGTGCTAAGTCTCCCTTTACAGGTGCTTTCAGGTAAAGTCGTTCTTGCCTCATTTCTCTTTGCAGTGTACAGGTGAGGCCCTTTCAGGGCTTAACTCCACCTGTCATATAAGCAGTAAAACAAATTGTTTTAATTTAGTTAGCTTCTCTGTCAGTTGCATAGTGATGGAACTAGAGAAAAATGTGGGTTTGCTGCTATAGGTTGTATATGACCTCTAGGAGCTCAAAATGAAGAGAGCACTATGTATCACATGATACCTGATTAGATTAAATGAGCTGTCGTCATCTTAGATCTCTGACTTCCTGAAGTAGAAATGTTTTATTCTTTTTTTTGGTTTTGTTTTGTGAAATAGAATAGTCATTCTTTGTTTTTAGAGTACCAAAGAGATTATTTGCTTTTTGTGGCTGTATATAAAAAGTAGTTCCACTGAATCTGCAGTTAACAAAGACTGGCTTCTTACAGCTTTTTGGTTTTAAAAGCCAGTTTCCATAGATGCTTTTTTCCCATATTCCTTTTGGACATCCCTCTCTGGGTGAGAGGGAGCATGTTCTCAGACTGACGCGTAGCGCTGTGTGTTAGCCTGTATGTGTGTGTTGGCTAACTGCAGAACGGCCACAGGCTAAGTCCTGTCTGTGGTTGCTTGTATGGGGTGTTAATATGGAACTCTTTCTTCAGCTCGCTGCTGATTTTCATAAAGTTTGTAAAGAACTGAATTATTTTTGAGATATCCACTACCTTTGAGGTTTAAGTTGAGCAGCAGTGTTATGTATTATTTGATAAGAATGATTTTTCCTTAAAAAGTTAGATTAAACTCTTAAACTCTTAAAATAAATAAGCACTGCCCCCAGGCTTCAAATATGACAGTTGGCACTTGGAGTTCATCCCCACCTGCCTGTCAGCCCCAGAGGAAGTAAGGGCGCTTCTCTAAAGCTGTGAATTTTGTCCTTGTCATTGATAAGACATCCTTACTGCCGCATGGTTTCTCTTGTAGTGGGTATTGTATGTCTGGGGCTATCTTTGTTCAGATCCTCTGACAGAGGTACTACGCATGTATATGTGTGTTTTGAATATAGCGAAAGTGTAAGGGGGGAGGGCAGAAGACCCAAGAAGTTGGCATGGTAAGTGAAGACGTTAGCAATGCTGTTAGATATGGCAGCATCGGCATCCACTTTGTGCTCAGTGCTGTCAGACTGTGCCTGGCGTAGGTAAGGAAACTCGATCTCATTTCATTTTGTTTTACAGTTTTTTGGCAGCACAGAGACACTGACTGTGGTGCAAAAGAAGGGGTCAATCTTACAGTGCTGTGAAAAGCCCCTTGGACTGAACTTCTAGGAAAGTTTGAGTTAGCTTTACCTTCCTTTTCCTGGATTGGGACCCAAGTAAGGGAGCGGGAAATAAAGTTCAGGTCGCAAAACTGGTTGCGGCCTTATGCAAATAGGAGGGTTGTGCAGTTGTTCTCCATCATATGGTTTGCAGCACTTCTGCTATGCAGAACAGCATTAGCAGGCATGGGGGGAGAGGAAGAGGGCAGGAAGGACAGATGGACTACAGCCTGCTTACTTCCTGTACTTCCACTCCTGGTAAATATATCCCTGCTCAAGGGGTTGGCTTGTTTAACAGTGCTCTTCATCTTTGTTAGTAGTTTGTGGAAGATTTGTTCTCCTCATCTGAAGCCTTTAAAGTTGGCAGTTTGCAGGCTTTATCGCTTACTGATATGTGCGTGGGGATTTTTTGTTTGTTTTTTGTTTGTTTGGCTGTTTTTTATGTGAAGTCAAGGTACAGGTGGTGGCTACCTGGATTCAAAGGAATCTGGTATTAAAATGACTTACCCAGCAATATTTTGCGGTAGCATGAGAATTAACAAGTAGGGAATTTTATAGTGAAATAGATATAAATTAAGAGTTTGCTGGATTAATTTTTGTAACTAATCTTACGTTTTAGCTCTCTGAAGATGTTGTGAACCGAATGAAACAATCTCCTGAACCTAAAAGGGACAACCAGAGATCACCCCACTCATCCAATGGCACAGCCTCATTATCACCAGCTGCAGAAAGGATGCCCAAATCTCCTACAGGTACTGTCAGTCCCTATCAGGTCTACTGCCTAGAGTTATAACACCATTCTCAATAGCACTGCCAGTTGGATGTTACGTGGCATGCCTGTATCTTTTCAAGACCAGTTTGCTATGAAAGCTTGTTGTTGTTGATTAGCCTTTGACATGTTTATGTAAGTAGATACCAGTATCATTGAATGCCTTGAACACTGTGGTCCCGAGACATCCTTTTTATGCGTTTGTGAAAGGCAGCAATGTCATGTGGCAATTGGGATCCTATAATTCTATTTCTATCTCTGTCACTGCGTGACCTTCAGTAAGACAGCTAGTTTTTTTAGGTCCTCCTTTTGTGGAATGCTAGTACCAACCTTCTCAGATACATTAGTAAAGTTTTATGAAAGTTTATGTAAAGATCTCTTTAGGATTTTGGGTAAATGTGCAATAAGCAAGGCAGAGCATTTTTTTTTTTTTCTCTCTGATTTCTAGAAAGCTGGCTTGTTCTCCCCTTTCCATATACAGGGAGTACTTTTCACTGGTGAAATGTTGCTGTATGCTTCAGAAATAACCTCATGTGGAGAGAGGGGGAAGGGAAATATTGATAGGCTGACTAAGCTCAGCTATTTTGTGATATGCCAAGTGGCGAGTGAGAACTTGGTCTCTGAACTTGTTCTTCTTTTCAAGTCATACTGGATTATTTGATTTCTGTTGGTGCTCGAATATATATTGTTGGTCATTGTTATCAATATGGATTTGTTTAAGGCATCCAGGCTAACCGGAAGTTAGTGAATCAGACTTTCACTGTTAAGAGAGATTTGTTTGCTGTTAGCCTGTGCCTTTTTTGAAAGTGGATTCAGCTTTATGGATGGCCTGAACTCCCAACAAGTAATTTCATCTCTGCTTGTGAGCTCTCGGTAAGTACAAGGAAAGGAAGAGGTCAAGGAGAAGACTTAGTGGAACTAGAGGGAAAAAGTGGAAAGCAGGACCAAAATTATGGCTTATGTTTCTATATAAAGCAGTGTTTCTGGGGTTTTGCATCCTTTTAGAAGGATGCTAACCTGCTAGTAACTTCTAGAAGTTTTTGCAGCATGCCTTGCTCAGTGTGCCTTATTGAAAACAGTGGCGTCAGTGTCACTTGCCTTCCTGAATTCTAACTGCATCCATAGAATTTAAATTTTCTTGAGGCTTTTCTAGGTGTATTGGATTGTCTCTTGGTGGGATAATGCTCACTTCTGAAGTGTTCACATCTTCTCAAGTAATTTACGATGTGATGAGAAACTGTTTTCTTTTACAGTTGTCACATGCTCCTGTTCCCTTTTCTAGGAATCCAGCCACCAATGGCAAGTAACTCTGATCAGAAGTCTTCTACAGCAGAGCAGGAACTATACCGGAGGTAAGGTGAAGTTTTCCTTGAAGGAGATGCAGCTTAGCTCCTTTTGGACCATATGTGTGTGGTTTGCTTCAGTTTGAGTGCAATGACCGTATATTTTAATGCCTGCAGAACCCCATCTGAAGCCTTGTTCTGGAGCGTTTTCTGTAGTGCAAGCCTGTCCCTTAGGCAAAAGAAGCAAGCAGGGGAGATGCGAGCAATTGGAGTGGTGTTTGGAGAAACAGACAGGGAGGATTAAGATAAAGTTGGTAGCTACAGAAAATCGTGCATTGTGCTTGGTAAGACCAACAAAGCATAAAGCATAGACTTGAGTACAGTTGCCTTTTCTGGGACAAGTGAAGTCTGATGCTTTTTCTTAGAGATTTTGGAATCTCGGATGTAGTGTTGGGTTTAATTCAGTTTATGCCTAAAATAATCAGGTCTGCCTTATCTGTCTGGTTCTTTCCCTGCTCCTTTTCCTAGACTAGACTTACTATCTGTCAGCCTGTACTAGATTGGTATGCATTTTTCATTCAAGGGGCTTAATTTATTAAGATATAAATAGCTGTAAGATGGTGGTAAGGATTAGATAAACTGTTGAAGAAAGTGTGCTCTTCTCTTTAGCCAAACCTCAGGAGTCTCCTCCTAGTTTTGGATGTTGCAGGGTAGTAAGAACTTAAGTTTCTCTGTAACTCAATTATAAAATGAGTTATAAAACTGTTATAAAACTTCTGGCCTATCTTTCTGTGTGTTCTTAAAAGTGCTTTGAAGATCTATCTTTTCATCTTCTTTCTTTTGCTGCTCTGGTGACTTCTTTACTGTGGCTGTACTTTTCTGTTACAGAGTCTGTGTAGCTGACTATGAAAAGGGATCTTTTGTTCAGTTTTGCTGTTGACCAGCCAAACCTGTAAAAACCTGATGCATCAGTCATGCTATCCCTGGTTGCATCTTTGGCTTTCCTCGAGGAGTCCCTGGAAAGCTGGTTCAATTTTATTTATTTATTGAAACTGTGAAATCAAATTTGCCATCGGTTTTCAGTATTGACTTACTGAATGGCCTCCAGAGTACTTGGTCTGGGAAAAGGAGAGGAAGGGGACAGAAATGCAGGGGAAAAGCAGGCAGGGAAGACAAGGAACAGAGAGGAGTGGCTTGTGTGCGTATAGCTGAGCTGTGGAAGGGGCACCCGGCCTGAATGAGGTAAAAGGCATCCTGAGGAAGTTTGGGGATGACCCCAAATTGGGAGGAGCAGTCAATGTGCTGGAGGGCAGTGCTGCCACTCAGAGGGACCTTGACAAGCTAGAGGGATGGGAGAAGAGAAGCTGAGGGAGCAGCATTGGTTTAGTCTGGAGAAGAGAAGGCTGAGGAGCAGGGAGCTGTCTTCAACTACTTGAAGCAGTGCTACGGAGGAGATGGTGCCAGACTCTTGTCCATTGCTTCTTATCATTTCAGTGTGCATCGCTGACACAATTTGCAGCAAGGGAAGTTCTGCCTGGGTATAAGGAGGAGAAAAAAATGTCACAGTGAGAGCAGTGAAGCACTGAAACAGATTGCACAGAGAGGATATAGAATCTCTGGGCTTGGAGATACTCCAAAGTCGATTGTACAAAGCGCTGAGCAACCTGATCTAACCTTGAAGTTAGCCCTGCTTTTGTAGAAGATCTTCGAAGGTCCCTCCGAACCTAAACTATTCTGTTATTCCCTTCATATTAATCTCTTTACTTGCATGCAGAATTCCCACAGCTCAAATTGGACTAAATTTCCTTCATGGCAGTCCTCGAGATTCAGGTGTCCGGGCAGTGGACATGACAAAGCTGCTTCTCAGCTCTGTCATTGCATGTGTTCTGGATGACTTTCTTCCCTTGTAGAGCAGTAAAACAGGGATGTCAGATAGGCTAACTCGTCTTTTTTTGTGGTATGTCCCTTGATCTTTTTTCCAAAGCAGCATCTATTTGTCTAGTTAACTGCTTTCTATTCTGACTGTTTTCAGGTCATACTTAAGTATTTAGAGTCAGATGTAACTGAAGTATAAGCTTGTGTGCATTTAGTTTACTGGTGTTGCCTGAACTATACTTTATTGAAC